ACACATACATGGATGTGTTTTTTGGACGCATTTAAACACAAGGACACATTTGATATGCCTGTACGTGTGTGTACATGCGGGGACATACTTGCAAGCTTCCTACGCATCACCCAACCCCCCTTCCCACACACAAGCTTCAATGTGTTACAGACAACCCCACACAGTGCTAAGGGCAACATGTAATATTACTCAGTCTCTTCCACGGCTGACTTCATCTTCCCTCGTCTTTTGGCTGAACGCTGATTCATCTACACGCAGGTTTGCCACGCACGGAAGCGCCAATTGGGTATCTGTTGAAAGCCATTTGGATATCTGTTGAAAGGCATTTGGATATCTGTTGAAAGGCATTTGGATATCTGTTGAAAGGCATTTGGGTATCTGTTGAAAGGCATTTGGATATCTGTTGAAAGGCATTTGGGTATCTGTTGAAAGCCGTCTTGTGTATAGCTTTAAATTGGCTCAGACGAAACGAGAGTCGAAAGGCAAACATTATTCGAAACATTATTAGAAAGTTGTTATTATTGCGAAAGAGTATTTAGAAAAGAAAGAAAACGCTGCTAGTGTTGCTAAATTCGCGAGTAAAAATCTATATTCTGTGAGCTGCACGGAGCAACCTTAACGAGGAATCCTTTGAGAAGAAAGATTAACCAACAACTCGTCTTTTTCATTTTCATCTTTATTACTAGTAATTCCAGTGATCCACTCCTATTTTGTAATTAATTTTTAGAGTTGCAATATCAAACAATAAAAGGGCATAACACCAATTATCATTCTAATGAAGTAAAAAAAGTAAAGTTCAATCGCTTAAATTGTGACAACCTATATGCAAATTCATAAAAAAGAAAAAGAAAAAAATGCAACAGCCAAAGAAAACAAGTGCATCCAAGGTACATATAACCAGGTACCTCCACTTCTTCATACTGTAAATTTGACGGGTATTTTTGTTTTACATCTAGTAATTATCACAATATCGAGTAAACTATACAAATAATTCTGTATCTAGCTACATCTGATATCTCACAATGCAGCTAAAAGTGATGATGTCATTAGTGCTGCCCATTATTTGACCCGGTCAGTTTTATGCAATTTTTTTTTCAGTGGATTTTCTTTGAAATTGATTCAATAAAAACAATGTTGAAAAAATAAACGAAAGAAAATTGCAATGAATAAAGGCAAAGAGGCGAGGATAAGCTAGTAAGTTGCCAACTAGGATTTATATCAAGACAGATTGGGGCTACCTGTTTCAAACTACTGACGTCATAATTATTATGGACGAAACAACACTTTAGGAAGCACCCACCACCACAACAACACAAGCAAATTCTTTCAAATCATTAATTTCTGAACAACTCTAATACCACTCAGTACTCAGCCACGCCGTAGAGCAACCACCATGCTGACGGAGGCGCTGTTGGGGATCCTTCTCCTTGTGCTGCTCTTCTCTTTCGTCAACAAAAGACCCCCAAATCTCCCACCAGGTGAGAGGAAACGGATGAGAGAAAGTGAGAGAGAGAGAGAGAGAGAGAGAGAGAGAGAGAGAGAGAGAGAGAGAGAGAGAGAGAGAGAGAGAGAGAGAGAGAGAGAGAGAGAGAGAGAGAGGGAGGTGAGATGTGTATTAATGGTAGAATTATGACAGTAATACTAGTAAGTATTAGCAGAATGATACCAAAATAATATTGCTTATTACTAATATCACATATTAATACCGATTAGTAATACTAACTACAAATACTATTAAAAGAAAGTTTTTGAAAGCCTAAGTGAGTTGAATCTTTGAAAACTGGGATCTGTAAAGTTATATCATTTGATATTGAATAGGTGGTCGTAAAAATGGTCTTGGCGATTTTGATAAAAGTAATAAAGATAAATACAGAATGAGAATAGTAAAAATAATAATGACCAGTTTCAAATCTTAACAGTTTTAGAGAGAAAAGGGAAAGGCGTACGGAGAGAAGGGAAGCAGGAAGCATTATATTCACAGGGCCAACTTTGATCAGTTTAGGGGTGGGGGTGCGGGGTGGAGTAATCATAATACTAACTACGATTACTGTCTTTCAGGGTTATGGGGCCTGCCAATAATAGGACACCTTCCCTCCAGCGAAATCCCTCTGCATGACCAATTACAGATGCTTAAGAAGAAATTGGGTAACATCATCTCGTGAGTAGCTTTGCTCGTCAGGTTATGGGAAAACAATCTAGCTTGGTCACCATGTCTCTTCAATCTCTTCTATATCCTTATATTATCTTCTCTATATTAGTATTATCCTTTATTTCCTGGGTTACTAAAATGCATTCCCTTTCTGAATATGATTTAGTGGCACGTATCTCTCCCAGATGGCGCATGGGGAGCCGCATCTTCATCTTCTTCTGCGACTACAAGACCATCAAGGCCGCTTTCTCCAAACCCGAGTTCTCTGACAGACCGGACTTGTATAGCTTCACTGTCTTCAACCGATTCACCGAGACCGGTAAATTTACTAGGCTGAGAAGGACGGAATGATATAGGAATATGGCGATTTTTCGCTTTGTTTTTCACAGTATAGGGAAAATACTTTTTATCATAATCGTATTTTCCTGGCTTTTAACTTCATTGTTTCGTTGACAACTTGTTCAGCTTGAAGCATCTAATGGCACTCTGCAATAAAAAAAGAGAAATGATATTTCATATTAATTAATGGAGAGAAAACAGGGGAGGTAGATAGCTTAGTGGCAGTCCGCCATATTTTATCACCTCGTTCTTATTTTTCCTTCAAAGGCATAATCATCTCCAACGGACAAATTTGGCAAAACAACCGTCGGTTCACCCTCCGCCACCTGCGGGACCTGGGCATGGGCAAGACCCGCCTGGAGGAGGCCATCCAGCGCGAGGCCGTGTGTCTGGTCGATGACTTCGAGAGGCACGCAGGCCGGCCGGGTCCGCTGCCTTGGTCCATCAACGTGGCGGTCCTCAACGTCATCTGGCAGATGGTTGCGAGTAAGTGACTTGCTCCGCGATATACTGGCAGGGAATTCGAGGGAGCAAAACAGACCACGTGCTCAATCTTCCTCTCTCCTTCAGACCGACGACATAACGTGAACGACTTCGAGATTCAAAAACTGAATAAGCTCACCAGTTCATCCTTCGAGGACTTCCAAGGTATCAAGTGGTTTGATTTCATGCCGTGGCTGGTGCCCATCGTGCCTCATTTCCTCAAGCGGTGGACGGGCGTCGTCGAACTGACTGACAAGATACAGGTGATCAGTCAGCGTATGGCGGTAAGTGGCCTCGTCGCCGCACATTTTTTATGCCACAGTATCTTATGCACTTATTTGTGTATATATGCATAGACCCTTAAAGATGCATAAAAGGTATTCAGTTATTGCTACACACAGTCATGATGGAAATTAAACGCATAGCTAATTGCAGGTCAGAAATACATATTACACACACACACTCTATATGTATATATACATTATAGGTATATATATATGTTTATATCTGTTTGTGTGTGTGTGTGTATGTGTGTGTGTGTGTGTGTGTACATATACATACATACATATAAATATGTGTATGTATATATACATACATACATATAAATATAAACACACTCACACACACATACATATTCATATATATATACACACATATATGCACACGCACATATAGATAATATGCATACATAAATATGAATATGTATATGCGTGTGTCTATATATACTTATTCATTTATATATATTTATATTTGTATATATATATATATATATATATATATATATATATATATATATATATATATATATATATATATATGTATATATTTGTATAAATATATGTATAAATATGTATATATATGTATATATGCACAGACACGCACATGGTGCATTAGTCTCTAGTGTACAACTTACATACAAGAGACAGGGAGACAGGGTTCCCTCGCCAAATTTTGAATCTTGATTTTTAAGATGCAGAATCATGATTACTACATACACACATACAAACACCATAGATAAACACAGACATATATATATATATATATATATATATATATATATATATATATATATATATATATATATATATACATATATGCACACACACACACACACATATTCTTTTGTACACATAGATGCACGCACCCTCCTACACACACATTAACACATATGGATGTTTAATATATATATGTGTGTGTATGTGTGTTTGTATGTGTGTGTCTGCGTGTATATGTGTGTGTGTTATTTATATATCCACGCGTTAAAGTATATATATACACTGATACCATACTACCTTTCACAGGAGCACGTGAAGGAGCACCAGGCGACGCTCGACCCCGAGAATCCCCGAGACTACATCGACGCTTACCTGCTCGAGATGGAAGCCCAGAAGGACGACCCAAACTCTACCATGAGCAGTGAGACCCCTTGTGCTTTCCTATTTCAATTAACCCAAGTTTCCTGTTTTCTAGACAGATTGGGTTCCTTTTGGATGTGTAGTATATCCGGGAGCAAAAGTTCGACTACACTACTGGCATAATTTTTTTTTTTTTATGCGTCGCCTATAGATGGCGTGGTATTCGTTGTATGCAAAGTAAAATAGAGACGAAGGGACGGGAAAGGAATGGGAAGTGGGAAAGAGCAAGGAGGGGGGGGGGGCCCTCAAGACGGGATGGGGGAGAACCTGGTGGCAATGATTAAGCGGCACATAGTTGGTATTTTATAGGGTAGTGTAAAGTGAAAGTATGCCAAAGATCATGTATCACCCTATAATAACAATCTAACACAGGTTTTGTCAGTTACGGAGTAAGTTTACGTGGGTCGAGTTGGAATTTGACTATCAAATTGACAAATGCCTTATCTGCTCTGCCTGTGTGACAGAGAAATGCTCATTCACATACGTGCACAACATCACACACACACACACATGGGGAAAGAAAGAGGCAGAGAGAAATAGATAGATAGAAAGAGATATAGATAGATAGATAGAGAGAGAGAAAGAGAGAAAGAGAAAGAGAAAGAGAGAGAGAGAGATAGATAGAGAGAGAGTGAGTGAGTGAGAGAGAGAGAGAGAGAGAGAGAGAGTGAGAGAGAGAGAGAGAGAGAGAGAGAGAGAGAGAGAGAGAGAGAGAGAGAGAGAGAGAGAGAGAGAGAGAGAGCAATTAAATGTGCGACAGGCAACGGGAAATCCCATTACTTCTTTCATTTAGTAGTAATAAATAGATGGATAGATGAATAAATGATGATAATGGTATTTTATAGGAAATATCAAGCATTTGCCACCTAGCCTGATCTATGGGTAATACGTAGGGACATATATTGGACTGTGAGAGCCCCCAAAGGCATAATGTGGACTAGATTGGAAATTAGTCCATAGACTTCAATAGAATAGTAAACAAAGTGTGGCACTGGTACATATACTGAAAACAAAGACCATAAATGAATTTAGCATGCGGGATGTTTCCACTATGTAGTGGGCACATGCTCCCTCTGTTGATGAAGTTGTATCATTTTGCGAAAACAGCTGCTCTCAGCTGGATATCTGAGGTTATAATGCAGCCAGGAAGCTCAGCACAACACACAATACACTACATAATAAAAGCTAGGAAATATGTAATCCTTGAAGTAGACAGTGGGTCGAAGGCAGCTAAGTAAACGAAGATGAAGTAGAGAAGCTGAGGAATGAGCAGGCGATTAGTAGGCCGGCTAAATGGATGCAGGTCTTGGGGGGTCACGGGGAGGCAGTTGTCAAAGGGAGCATCAACGGAACCTCGAAATGACTGGGGCTTCGGGGCGAGAGAGAATTTCAGCCGGTTTAGAATCTATTTACGTCGTGTAAATTATGTGGGATCGTAATACATTTCCGAACTCCCATTGAGGAAAAAGGGGGCCTTGTCAGAAAATGAATGTCTCTTATTATGCTGGCTTCTTATTTCACAAGGTAAATATATGTTAAGCACTTGCTCCTTTTGTCAAACATATGTTGATGACATGACGAGCGCCTGTGAATGTTTCGTGACATAACGTTTGCTACATATATATTATTTTTTACAAGATATCTTTAAAGAAACACCCGATATAGCATGAAAGACGATGCCCTTTTGAACTCCCATACAGTTGAAGATTTGTTGTGCTGCCTGTCCGACCTGTTCAACGCCGGCAGCGAGACCACGTCCTCCACCATCCGCTGGGCCATCTACTTCCTGGCCAAGTTCCCTGAAGTCCAAGCCAGAGTGCAGAAGGAGATTGACTCCGTGGTTCCGAGGGACGTTCTTCCCTCCATTCAACAGAGGGCCAGGTGTGCATTAAATCAACTACCAATGTAGAAGTTACAGTGTTATTCCTCTGTAAGTTATTAGCAGCATTGATAAGGAATCACAGTATTGCAGTAAGAATATATTCTAAAACTTACAAGACATATCATTGCCAAGATGAAATACATTTAGAAAATACTTAATATAGTTTCTTACGTCACCAGCATGCCATATCTAGAAGCTGTTACTCTAGATGTTCACCGACTAGCGTCTTTTACTCGCATTGGAGTTTACCACATGTGCTCCAGAGATACACAGTTCGAAGGCTACGTAATCCCCAAAGTAAGCATTTATAACGACCACTCTTATTAGAACAGTTAAAAAAAAAACAAGTAACTATATATACAACCATATCTTAGAAATGCCAAAGTTTCACATAACAAGAATCCTTTCTTCAATAAGTACACATGGAAGGAAAAACCACTAGACCTTCGCAAAATTTCTCTTCCACAGGGTGCTATTTTGGCTGCCCACCAGGAAGCCTGCCACACGGACCCCGCCTTCTGGGAGAAGCCTTACGAACTGTACCCCGAGCACTTCCTCGATGACCAAGGGAAGATTCTCACCAAGAAGGAGGGCTTCCTGCCGTTTGGTGTTGGTATGTGCCAATGGGCGTATGTAGTGTTGTATACACACACACACACACACACACACACACACACACACACACATATATATATATATGTGTGTGTGTGTATATATATGTGTGTGTGTGTGATCTATATATATTCATATATCGCGCACACACACACACACACACACACACACACACACACACACACACACACACACACACACACACACACACACACACACACACACACACACGCACGCACGCACACACACGCACGCACACACACGCGTACTGCATACATTTGTGAATTAGAGAGACAAAGGGAGAAGTCGCTCCTCTGATGCAGCCAGAAGTCGGTCTCCTCCAAGCGCTTTTCTCCTCCTCCAGGTCGCCGCCAGTGCCTCGGGGAGTCGCTGGCCCGCATGGAGCTCTTCGTCTTCCTCTCCGCCCTCCTGCAGAACTTCACCTTCTCGGCTCCCGAGGGCAAGGGCATCTGCGTAGACAAGGACCCTAAATTGCCACTCCTCAATTTACCCAAGCCAGTCGATATCCTCATTACGAAGCGGAAGTAGGAGGAGGTCAAAGAAGAGGGTTTTATGGGTCTTTTCGTTCACTAAATGCTGTTAAAATCTGTCTTTCTACTAGCACATCCATAAATCCACTTTGTCACTCACGTTGATTAACGTCAGTGAAGAAAAAATGTACTTAATCCTAATAATAAAAAATTAAAAAAATCATTCATAGTTCAAAGGTTCATCCGCATCTCCTACATACTGTAATATCCACTTGGGGTTCCTCTTAGCAAAGTCTTTGGAAAATATATGAGTTTTGCATGACTTTTAACAGTCATGCAAGCTGTCACCCAACAAACTTAAGGGGAATTTTTGACGGAAGATATTTCAAGATTCCCTGAAAAATCTTGCAACCTCATGTTCATTCCTGTTTTTGACGCCACCACTTGGCTAACCAAGCATTTTCAATGTACCTCCAAAGGGAACTTGCTAGTTTCCTGGCATCACAATCGTAGACAATCTCCAACATGGTCGACAGAAATGAGTGATTTCGATGAAATTCTCTTAACAAATTATCCAACAAGTTCAAATAAAAAGAAAGCTTGAGAAAGGTCTTCGTACGTTTTCGGATGACATACAAAAATATGCAGAATTTTCAGGCTAACAGCCGAATTCTCAAAGATGCATCTGGATATGATCTTATATATCGTCAAAAACAAGTCACTTTTAGTAACGCTAAGAACGTTATTCATATTTCTTGTTGAGAACTATTAAAACAAAGTTAATTTATAAGTATGTTATTTATGTAAAAAAAAAAGTATTTGCAGTTTCGGAACAACGCAACCAGGCATATCCAAATGCGTAAAACATATCTCAGAAGGCAACATATGACCAGTAGAATTTCTTTTCCATTACCCATTATCTGACAATGACACTTCATTATTGGCCACAGTAGCATCCTACTTAAGAATTTTCCATTGCCTTGGTATCCTTTAGCATTTTTTGAATTTAGTAAATGTTCTTAGCACAAAATAATGTCTATCCTTTCGAGCGCCGTTTTCTGTTACCAAGAGCGGCTTGACGAGCCTAATGGATGTACTGTGATATTTATGAGGATGATTATCATCATCAGCCTGAATTTGCCTTGGCCACCAAATTTCGTTATTTCGTCAAGCCATCTTGTCATTGGCCTGGCCCTTGGCCTCCTTGTGTTATTCATAGTGCAGTCTGATACTTTCTTTGTCCATCTGTCGTCCTGCCTCCGACGGATATGACCTGCTTATTGCCCTTTTTTCTTTTTGCTGCTCAAAAGCATGTGTTCCACTTTTGTCTGTTCCCTGATCCACGTCGCCCTCCTTGCATCAACCTCTCCATCCCTCTCTGGGCACTTATTAGTTTCCTCCCCAGTAATTTGGTTATAGTCTATGTTTCTGATCCATTGGTCATAACTGGGAGGACGCATTGGTTAAAGACTTTTCTTTTTAAACATAATGGCAAGGTGCCTCTTAGTATGGCAAATGTATCTGCCGAAGGCACTCCACCCTAGACTGATGTGTTTGTCTGTACAAGTTACCCTAGGTATATATACTTTTCCACTACCTCTAGCGTTTCGCCTTTACATGTATCTGTTCGAATTGAACTCTACTGTTGAACATGATTTTCGTCTTTTTCTTGTTCATCCCAAGTCTGACTTTCAGTATTTCTCTGTTCAGATCGTTTATTAGTTGCTGCATTCCATTTGCAGATTCACTGCAATATCATCTACAAATCTTAGATTGTTTAAGTATTCATCTCCTATTTTGATACCCTGTCTACTCCATTCTAACTTAAATATTCCCTCAAGACAAACTGTAAACAGTTTTGGTGAGATGGTGTCGCCCTGTCTAACACCCTTTTCAATTCTAGCGGTTTCCGGGTGGAGCATGCTGTCCCATCTCTGTATATCTTCTAATATTTTATAATATACCTCCTTCTACTCTCTGTCTTTGAATAGCTTCTGGTAGTGCTGGTATTTGTCAAATGTCTTCTTGTAATCGATGAATACCATACACAGGCATTTCCTATATTCGCTTTTTTTTTCTTTCTCTTATTTGGGTGAGCGTTTGGTCTGTTGCTGAAAATCCACTGCGGAAGCCTGCCTGATCTCTGGACTTGTTAGAATCCAGACTGTCAGAGATACGATACGTGATGGCCTATGTGAACAGTTTGTAAGTAACTGAAAGGAGGCATATGGGTCGGTATTTTTTAGATCCTTTCTATTCTCTTTTATATGTATCAAAATAATTGTTGCATTTTTTTCCGTTGAGAAGGCATTTGTTAAAAGTATTGTCTAGTTTCATTGTTGCAATATCTCCTGCATCTATTATAACGTCTATACTAATTCCATCCTCACCTGGTATTTTCCCTCTCTTCATACCTTTAAGCGTTTTTTTATTTCTTCTGTTACAGTGTTAGATACGTCTCTAGTTGCTACGTTCGCTTCTATCCGTGGGTGTTTATTTGAGTTGTATAGATCCCTGTAAAATTCTTCCACTTCTCTTATGATTTCATTCTTATCATTTGTCACTTCTCCGTCTGGTTTCTTTATTGCATACAATTGATTTCTTCCTGTTCCACTGTCTCATATATTATTTGAGTATTGAATTTCTGTACATCTTCTCTCTTTTTTTTATTTATAGTCTTTGTTAGTTCAGCTAATTCTATTTTGCCCTGTTTTTGCATAAGCTGTTTATCTTCTACCGAGAGTTGCTGGAGCTTTGCTTAACGTTCTTACCGCCTATTTCAAGTACAGCCTCCTCTAGTATGTCAATTAACTGTTTGTTGATTTGGTCTATTTTGAGATCTTCAGCGCTAAGAAGTGAATATCTGTTTTGGATATTAAGGTTAAATTCTGTCGCTCAGGTCTTCAAGTTGATTAAATTTGGCTGCGGTTTTCGTATAAGCTTATTCCTTTCCCTTCTTTTCCCTGTAATATAATTTGGCCTCTGACCAACCTATGGTCGCTGCCAACATTTACTCTAGTAATACTATATCGCTCTTATTTGAAATTATGTAGTCAATTCCGTTTTTTATGTCAGATGGTGACTTCCATGTCCACTTCAGCTTTAGTCTTTTTTTCGACGAATGTATTCATGATATTGAGTGATCGAGCCTCCGCAAAATCGACTAGCATTAAGTTGTACCTGTTGTTTTATTTATGTTTGCACTAAGAGACCTACCCCTGCTTGCTTCCCTTCAATAGAACACGTGCCCATCATTTAGCATCTTCTGTTCTTCGTCTAGTCTTTTAACATCAGTTATTTAACATCCCATTTAATGAAAGAGAGTTTCTTTAGATAATGCTAGTAAGTCGGATTCAATTCTCATTGTCCTTATATTATATGTGCAAAAGTTCATCAATATGGAGCGGCCTGTTTGAGATTCTTAGCACCCTTTGCTCCGGAGCGATCCTGATGGCCGCCGTAACCAGGGGCTCCTTCGCCTCCGAGGTATGAGGGCCGTTAGGTCAGGTTACGGTTATAGTTGCTAATATTACAAATATTGGTGGCTTTGTATATCGTTGAGTGATGTTACTGATATATACATTGACTATATTTTTATTTTTATTTTTATAGAAAGGTTTCAGTACAAAAAAAATCATACTGATCATATTCAATTATTTATTGATCATAGAACAACAACATAGTGATCATATACCAGCACCAATATTGTCAGTTACGATGAAAAACAGGTGAGTGACTGAATGTCCCCAAGAGTTGTGTAATATTGATCCCTATTAGCTCTTGTAAGTATAAACAAAATCAGCAAAACTTATTACAGCATGAATTGATATATTACACATATTATAGTCATCATTATCATATGTGTGTAATTATATATTTTTTTTACGTCAGTTGTGGAAAAAAGTTTTAAAAAAATCAAATACACAAATCACAAACAGAGAGCACAAAAAGACACACACACGAACCCATTTGTGTGTGTATGTACATATACACATCGTATTTATTTGCCTTAGATCAAGATTACAATCCCAATATCAAAATGGAAAATATTAATGTCACAACGGTTAAAACCTATCTGAAATTTAGAGGAGAAGAGCGTTTTACAATCAAATTTAAAGGAGAAAAAAAAGAAAAAGAAAAAAAACGCAAAAGAAATCCAAAACACAAAACTCGACTCAAAAAGAAATTCCTATTTTCTTTTCGTAATAACAACATCGATGGGCTTCGGCATGTTGACCAGGTGCAGGCGGGGGTCCTTCTCGACGCACAGCTCCTTGCCCTCGGGAGCTGAGAAGGAGAAGTTCTGCAGGAGGGCGGAGAGGAAGACGAAGAGCTCCATGCGGGCCAGCGACTCCCCGAGGCACTGGCGGCGACCTGGAGGAGGCGCAGAAGAGGGTCAGGTGAGGGGTCTGGTATGCTTGTGCTTGGGATTTTATTCCTTGCTCTTTCTTTGTCTGTGTATCTCCTTTCTCTCTCTCTCTCGCATTCTGTTTGTCTCTGTCTCTCTCTGTGTCTGTTTATCTCTCTCTCTCTCTCTCTCTCTCTCTCTCTCTCTCTCTCTCTCTCTCTCTCTCTCTCTCTCTTTCTGTTTGTCTCTGTCAGTCTCTCTCTCTCTCTCTATATATATATATATATATATATTTGTGTGTGTGTATGTGTGTGCGTGCGTGCATATATGTATGAATGTATACACAGGAATAATATCTATTACACAGTGCAGCAAAAGGAGAGATATCGCCTAAAATAATCTAACATCCAAAGGGCAGTGAGAATGTTAAGCTGAGATGCGCATGAAAGTTGCAGAATCCCACCTAGAGAGAACGGCAGGAAGCCCTCCTTCTTGGTGAGAATCTTCCCTTGGTCGTCGAGGAAGTGCTCGGGGTAAAATTCGTGAGGTTTCTCCCAGAAGGCGGGGTCCATGTGGCAGCCTTCCTGATGGGCTGTTAGAACGGCACCCTAGGAAGACAGAATTTTTCTTTTCCAGGTCTATTTCTATGAATATTTCCAGTGGTAAGTTACCGTCCCGGGACTACCTTTCATCCCCTTTATTAGTTTTGCAAAGCTTTATTTATTTTCTTTAGATTCATGAACTATAAAAAAAAAACGTCTTCCCTTCATCACCTTAGGTATCATGTAGCCTTCGAACTCCGTGTCTTTGGCGCTGAAGTGGAAGAGACCGAGGCGCACGAGAGACACTAGTCGGTGGACCTCGAGTGTCACAGCTTCCAGATAAGGCATGCTGAAGAAGTAAGAGGAATAGGTATTTAGATAACACGCTTGATATCATTCTTGGATGTGTAACGCCAAGAGTCTTCAGGATGACCTATACTTGGAGATTATACCAGGACAAAAGATGAATGTTATAAACACCCCAAGGAACAAACTTGGGATACCACTACCAAACTAGGTAAGTTACAGTTTATATTGTCTAAATTGTACCTATTTTTCTGCTGGATGGAGGGAAGGATGTCCCTTGGAACCACGGAGTCGATCTCCCTTTGCACTTTGGCCTGGATCTCAGGGTACTTGGCCAGGTAGTAGATGGCCCAGCGGATGGTCGAGGAGGTGGTTTCGCTGCCGGCCACAAACAGATCTCCGAGGAGGTTTTTCAGATCAGTACCTGCGAAGAGGAACCCGACATTTGGTGATTTGAAAAGGAAATCATGCTTATAAAATAGGAAAAGGGATACAAAAACACTACTTGTCGGGACTATATCGAATTGGCAGTTATCGAAGTGCTTATTGAAGCCATATCGTAAACTGACACTAAAGAGCACGGCATCTTGTATAGCAAAATTGAAACAAAAATACCGATGGCGAATCTAAAGCATTAAACATGAATCGCTAAACCCGTTACGGCATCACTTCCTCTCTCCCGCCTTTACTTGAGACACAGCTACTACCGCGCCATCTATAGGCGACATATGAAAACATATGCCAGGCTGTGAGTATGCACCTGAATGAACCTTACATTATCTAATAAACCTGAAAACTGTAAACTGGAAACGCCCTCTATTAACGAAATAGTACACCATAAAGGGACTCACAGCTCATGGTAGAGTTAGGGTCGGCCTCCTTGGCTTTCATCTCGAGCAGGTAAGCATCGATTAAGTCTCGAGGATTCTCGGGGTCGAGTGTCTCCTGGTGCTCCTTCACATGTTCCTGTGGATTTTGGTTTCACCTTTAAGAATATTTCGATATCTGGTATGTAATTTTATACAAGCGGTGACTGCCTTTGTCAATATATTCCATTATATAATCATTTGTTTTATCAGTTAATTTTGCATTACTGTTTTCGTAGAAGGGAAGCTGCATTATTGTTTTTTTTTTCATTATTACTATAGCTATCGTTATCATATTCAAAATCATGATCACCAACATTGTCTTTTTGGCGCATTCACATTGATAGAAAAATCGGATATAAAAATGTTACCAGTACATATAGCTCCCACATTAATGAAAGTACTATAAGAAGTATAAAGCTCCACCAACACCTACCATCATCTTTTCCAAGAACACATCTGCTTTGTCTACCATCTGTGCCACGCCCATCCACTTCTTGACGAAATGGGGCACGATGGGTATCAACCAAGGCATGAGGTCGAACCAGATCACGCTACCCTGAGAGTCCTCCAAGGATGAGTTGACGAGTTTGTTGAATTCTTGCATCTCGATGTCGTTCACATCATATCGTCGACCTGGAGATGGGCAGGATTCATCGGTTGGCTAGATCTCTCTCTCTCTCTCCCCCTCTCTCTCTCTCTCTATCTCTTTCTTTCTCTCTCTCTCTCTCTCTCTCTCTCTCTCTCTCTCTCTCTCTCTCTCTCTCTCTCTCTCTCTCTCTCTCTCTCTCTCTCTCTCTCTCTCTCTAGTCTCCCTCCCTCCTTGCCTTCCTTTCTCTTTCGCCCCCCTCTCTCTCTTTCTCTCTCTGATCATCGATGTGATCTCAACTTTAAAAATCGAACAGATAATACTCTCATTGTTCTTGTTATTATCACCATTTGAGCGTCCTCGTACATGGTGCCAATTAGCTGTAACTTCTAAAATATCCTCGTCTTTCAATCGGGTTCTTTATTATCTTTAGTACAAGAGCAAGATTCCATTGCTTACTCGCAACCATCTGCCAGATGACGTTGAGGACCGCCACGTTGATGGACCAAGGCAGCGGAGCCGGCTGGCCTGCGTGCCTCTTGAAGTCCTCGACCAGACACACGGCTTCGTGCTGGATGGCCTCCTCCAGGCGGGTCTTGCCCATGCCCAGGTCCCGCAGGTGGCGGAGGGCGAACCGACGGTTGTTTTGCCAGAGCAGGCCGCTGGTGTTGATGACGCCTTTTGGGGCCAAGGGAGAGGGAAGGGAATTATTTCGTGATTCTGTTCGTTATTTGTGGTATTTCCATTAACATGTAATAGGCAAAGAGTCTTTTTTGTCAACTTCTTTTCCTTTTCTTGCGTTTAACCCTTTATATATATATATGTGTGTGTGTGTGTGTGTGTGTGTGTATGTGCGTGTGTGTCTGTGCGTGCATGCGTGCATGCGTATGTGTGTTTATTCTCTTATTCTCTCTGCATGCACATTCTCTTCCTGCCCTCGTTCTCCCCCCCCCCCCCCTCCAACCCACGAGACTGAACCTTCCCTTTAAAAGCTCGACGCAGACAAAGCTCTCACCGGTCTTCGTGAATTCATTGAAGATATCGAAACTGTAAAAATCCGGCCTGTCTGTGAACTCCAGCTTGGCGAAGGCGGCCTTGATGGTCTTGTAGTCGCAGAAGAAGATGAAGATGCGACTGCCCATCCGCCAGCTGGGGGGGGAGGGAGGAAATGTCAGATTTGGAAAAAAGCCTCCGTATTTATCTGACATTATATCTACATCTATTCACATATAAGCAATCTATCAGTGTATGTATGTGTGTGTGTGTGTATATATATATATATATATATATATATATATATATATATATATATATATATATATTTAAATATGCTTATATACATACATATATTTATATTCATATGCATAATATCAACAGGATAGAGATCAAATTTATGTTCAACTGTAGAATTCAGTTCTCTTTTCATTATCTATCAGTGTATTTATGTGTACATATATACTTACATACATACATGCATGTATATATACATACATACACACACACACACACACACACACGCACACACACACACATATATAAATATATATATATATATATATATATATATATATATATATATATATATATATATATATAAACACACACACACACACACACACACACACACACACACACACACACACACACACACACACATATATATATATATACATATATATATATATATATATATATATATATATATATATATATATATATATATATATATATATATATATATAATATCAACAGGAAAGAGATCAAGTTTATGTTCAATAGTAGAATTCAGTTCAAACAGCATGTACAAGGTTAAGCGATAGAGGCAGTGGACAAGTATATATATATATATATATATATATATATATATATATATATATATATATATATATATATATATATATATACCTAGGATAACTCATACAGACAAGCAAATCTAGTGTAGAGGAAATAAAGCGACACATCAGTCGAGGCTGGAGCACCTTCGGCAGACACCGCACCATATTACGAGGTTCCTTGCCATTATGTTTAATAAGAAAAGTCTAAGCAATGTGTCCTCCTATGGATCAGAAACATGGACTACAACCAAATTATTGGAGAGGAAACTAATAAGTGCCCAGAGAGGGTGAGGGCGACGTGGATCAGGAAACAGACAAAAGTGGAAGATATACTTGGCAACATCAAAAAAAAAAGAAAAAAAAGAAGGCAATGGGCAGGACATATATGTCGAAAGCAGGACGACAGATAGAAAAAGTAAAAGTAACAGATTGGGTTATAGATAACATAAAGAGACTAAGAGGCAGACCAATAACAAGATGGCGCGACGAAATAACGAGATTTGGGGGGCTAACACTAGAAACAACAAACGCAAAACAGAAATTGGAAATTAGAAAAGATTGGCAGAGGCCAATGTCTTGTAGTAGAATGGTAGTAGAATGATATGTATAAATACATACATACATATATATATATATACATACACATATATATGTGTGTGTGTGTGTACATATATCTATATCTCTCTCTCTCTCTCTATAATATATATATATATATATATATATATATATATATATATATATATATATATATATATATATATAAACATATGTATACATACATACACACACACGCACATATATATATGTGTATGTATATATATATATATATATATATATATATATATATATATATATATATATATATATATACATGTGTGTGTGTGTGTGTGTGTGTGTGTGTGTGTGTGTGTGTGTGTGTGTGTATGTATGTATGTATAAATATATATATATAAATATATATATATATATATATATATATATATATATATATATATATATATATATATATATATATATATATTAGTATAACTCCTGACTTGTCTAAAGGCAATAAAACAAAATTTTATAAAGTTAAGATCTCTTTACGAATATATAGATGCATTTATACTCACGATACGATGTTCCCAAACTTCTTCTTCAGTTCGTTTAACTGATCGCAAAGAGAAACTTCAGTCGAAGGAAGTTTCCCTATTATTGGCAAACCCCATAGTCCTGGAACGAAGGAATTCTATTAAAGAGAACTCTTTTCTGTTTGTCTGTTTGGTTGTTTTTTCTCCTTTCTCTCTATATCCCTGTTTCTCTCTGTCTGTATGTATTTATGTATGTCTATATCTGTCTGTCTGTCTGTCTTTGTCTGTCTGTCTGTCTGTCTCTGTCTCTCTGTCTCTCTCTCGCTCTCTCTCTCTCTCTCTCTCTCTCTCTCTCTCTCTCTCTCTCTCTCTCTCTCTCTCTCTCTCTCTCTCTCTCTCTCTCTCTCCTCTTCGCCCTCTCTGTCTCTATCTCCCCCTCCCCTCTCTCTCTATTCTTGTACCAGAGAAGCGTTTTCATAACTGTGATGCGTGAACTAACAAAACAAGAGATAATAGCTGGGACTATGCTTAAACAATAGAAAAATAGCTGAATTAATAGCTATGATTCCTCATAATTTCATTACAATTTCAAACATATCACTGACATTATCTAACTCAACGTAGCTAACTTTTAATACTCGTTTCAATGAACGTAACTGCTGCCCCTTCCAATGCTCTGAACACATCGATCCAACCCAACTTAAATTTTCACTCAGATTTGATACTTTTCGCTCAGACCCTCGTCATCTCTATACCCGAATCTTGCAATCAATGACCGATATTGAAAAGAACTGACCGAAAGTTGTTGCTTCTCGAATCGTGTCTGATACGAACAGAAATTCATTTTTATTCGTTATATTCCAGTTTCAGATGATCGATGAAAGACAAAAAACCTGCCCGATGAGCATGATGTGATCAATATTTATATGCTGTGATGTTAAGACAGTATGAAATTAATTGACTAATTAAATAGGTTAAAGGGACAAATAAACAAAAATGGTCAAATAAAAAGCTATAAATGACTTCAAATAATTTATTCCTCAGTTTCAGAATTTAGTTTTGTCACAGTCACTATTACGGGAATTACTGTTATGGAAATACATGTCATTACTACTCCCCCCCCTCCTCTCTCTCGCTCTCTGTCTGTCTCTCTCTCTCACCAGGCCCAGGCTTTCCCTGCTCGAGGTTCCCGCTCCTGCGTATGCGCGGTTAGCTGGGTGTGACGTGCTAGCTCGTCATCTCTTTTCCCCCTTCCTCTCACTTTCCCTTATCTCTCTCACTTTCTCTCTCTCTCTCTTCCCCCTCTCTCCCTTTCTCTCTCTCTCTCTCTCTCTTCCCCCTCTCTCCCTTTCTCTCTCTCTCTCTTCCTCTCCCTCTTTTCTCTCTCTCTCTTTCTCTCCCTCCCTCTCTTTTCTTTAACATACTTATTTATAATTATAATGCAGATATACATGATCATTATATGATATGAAACTAGTAAACCATCCCTCGCTTTCTTTTCTTCTCTCTCTCTCTCACACACACATACACACACACACTCTCTCTCTCTCCATTCAGTGTCTCGTCACTATAGCGTGAGGACGTGTATATTCACCTCTCGTGACCTTGACCTGTTCTGAAGTTATTCGGGTTGCATTTATGTGGCTGTATTTGCACAGGAAAGTCAGGTCGCGCCCTGTGTGTTCGGGGAATGACCCCTCCCCCCAAATGGGACAATGGCCACAGACCAGCTCATAGAAACTGAGGGCTGGGTATGTTGTCCTACGTGAGGAAGATATCGGTGGCGGCCCCACGAAAGAACAAGGAAAAAGCCAAGAGGCAACTACCTGCCTCTGTGGAGATGACGCCCCTCGGACACCTGTGCGTACTTTTTAGGAAGGAAACGAAACTTAGAACACATGGACGCAAAAAATACGTAGGGATTAATAAAATGGAAAATAGGGGGAAATAATGTTCATGAAAGATGCAAGAACGAACAAATTCTTGCTCATCTAACAACTCCTGGTGCAAGTGGTTAAAAGCTTGAAAAGGCCAAGGCTTTTAGGAAAGGAAAATGTACAAACTTCGTTGTGGTCGATATCCTAAAGAAAGTCGAAACAGGAAAAATGACATCATACAAAGAACACGTCATTCATGCCAGGCGTATGAAGTGAAAGGACTGATGACCCGGAGAGTCATCATAACGTACGAGTGGAAGGTAATTTCCCAAAGAATTAAAGGTTGGGGCATGGCTCTCTTTAGGTGTGCTCAAACTGGGGACACGGAGCACATGCTGGTCCGCGCGACGTACCGTGATATTGCGCTCTTCCTCACGAGGACTCAGAATCCGCAGAAAAGATTTCTGAAGGCAAAACTATCCCTCGGAAATGCGTGAAGTGTCACCAGGAGCACAATGCAAATTCTCCATTGTGCGCTTACTATCAAAGGATAGGAAGGTAAGCAGCCAAAAAAGCAGGCTGCCCCTCCCCCCAGGAAGTCCCTTCCAGCCCCTCGAATTAATGATGTGCGGGAATTCCCACACCTGGAGAGGTCACCTCCGATGGCACTGCAAAAGAAAGCCATGGCACCGGCCACGGCACCAGCACCGACAAGAGTTAGCGCGCCATCAACTCCAAAACCAACCCAACACTAGCTGCAGCGCCAACCCAGTATCAGCTGCAGTACCGACTCCTGCTCCAGCTCAGCCCTCACTACAGCAGGAAAGGATGTTTGCGTTCCTCCTTGAGCAACTCCAGCCTCAACCTGGAATGGGCCTTCGAAATGGTCAAGTGACAACCGATGGTTCCATATAATCTTCTGATATGTATTACCTGGAACATCTGATGCTCGTTATGCAAAAAAATGCGGGATACACATATGGCAAACCCATTGATGGTAATCCCTCTACAAAAAGACTTGGTATTTACATTAAGATTCCTATTCCATCAAAAGTTAGTAACATCATTAACCAACTCCTCCCCAGAAACTCTGTCAAACGTAGGTCTCCTTCCTCCAGAAGGACATCACCTGAACAAATGTCCTCAAATAGAGCTACTTAGAAAGCTTATTAGGTCTATAGTAAATCAACTAAAGCATATGGGAAGAAACACCCACTTAGCCAGGGACCTAGTATTCTTTAGTAAAAAAGGCTTATTGAGGTAATAACTCGAAAGCGGGAAGAGAGATTGTGTGCCTGGGCAGAATCGATTGACTCCATGACTCCCGTAAGTAATGTGTGGAGGGAAATCAACAAGATTAAAGGCAAAGCATATAATGTGACTCCCCACCTTCACTCAGGAAGGCTAGGTTTGTCACTCCCGAGTAAATGCTGCGAAAATTCCTCTCTTGATAATATTCCATTATCCATACGCAGGTAAGTTAAAACAAAAATGAAACTAAGTACCAACTTTTAGATCAGGTTGATGCAGTATTAACAAGTCATGAAATACCTGCAGCCATTAAGACTAGCAAATCCACTGCACCTGGGGATGATGGAACCACTTATGACATCATCCGACTCTTTGCAAAGGCACAGGTAAAGGAAAGAAATCCTTTTTTGATTTTTTCAACTTAACATATACGTCAGGCATCTTGCACACTGTCTGGAAACAAGCAACCATTATTCCCTTCCCAAAACCAGGATGCCCAGATGAATTTAGACCAATGTCTCTCTAAAACCTGTAAATGAATCCTACCCACTCGTCTGCTACACCAGATCAAAAATAAAATTCATTCATCCGTCTTTGGTTTTCAAAAAGGGAGGGGGACACAAATGTGTTTAGCCCAGTACCTAAATGAAAGTAGTGCACAATCTTCTTACTTCATAGATTTCAAATAAGCACAGCAGAGCCTCTCCTACTACAATCCTCCATGAACCAAAACTTCTAAGAGTTAAGGGCAAGATTCTGCTATGGATAAAGGATCTTTCGAGAAGAGCAAAAATATGGTACCAAGGTATATGCAGTACTCCCTCCCCCTCCCCTCTGTCTCTATCTCTGTCTGTCTCTGTCTCTGTCTCTCTGTCTCTCTCTCGCTCTCTCTCTCTCTCTCTCTCTCTCTCTCTCTCTCTCTCTCTCTCTCTCTCTCTCTCTCTCTCTCTCTCTTTCTCTCTCTCTCTCCTTTTCGCCCTCTCTGTCTCTATCTCCCCCTCCCCTCTCTCTCTATTCTTGTACCAGAGAAGCGTTTTCATAACTGTGATGCGTGAACTAACAAAACAAGAGATAATAGCTGGGACTATGCTTAAACAATAGAAAAATAGCTGAATTAATAGCTATGATTCCTCATAATTTCATTACAATTTCAAACATATCACTGACATTATCTAACTCAACGTAGCTAACTTTTAATACTCGTTTCAATGAACGTAACTGCTGCCCCTTCCAATGCTCTGAACACATCGATCCAACCCAACTTAAATTTTCACTCAGATTTGATACTTTTCGCTCAGACCCTCGTCATCTCTATACCCGAATCTTGCAATCAATGACCGATATTGAAAAGAACTGACCGAAAGTTGTTGCTTCTCGAATCGTGTCTGATACGAACAGAAATTCATTTTTATTCGTTATATTCCAGTTTCAGACGATCGATGAAAGACACAAAACCTGCCTGATCAGCATGATGTGATCAATATTTATATGCTGTGATGTTAAGACAGTATGAAATTAATTGACTAATTAGATAGGTTAAAGGGACAAATAAACAAAAATGGTCAAATAAAAAGCTATAAATGACTTCAAATAATTTATTCCTCAGTTTCAGAATTTAGTTTTGTCACAGTCACTATTACGGGAATTGCTACGTTATGGAAATACATGTCATTACTACTCCCCCCCCCCCCTCTCTCTCTCTCTCTCTCTATCTCTCTCTCTCACCAGGCCCAGGCTTTCCCTGCTCGAGGTTCCCGCTCCTGCGTATGCGCGGTTAGCTGGGTGTGACGTGCTAGCTCGTCATCTCTCTCCCCCCTCCCTCTCACTTTCCCTTATCTCTCTCACTTTCTCTCTCTCTCTCTTCCCCCTCTCCTCCCTTTCTCTCTCTCTCTCTCTCTCTTCCCCCTCTCTCCCTTTCTTTCTCTCTCTCTCTTCCTCTCCCTCTTTTCTCTCTCTCTCTTTCTCTCCCTCCCTCTCTTTTCTTTAACATACTTATTTATAATTATAATGCAGATATACATGATCATTATATGATATGAAACTAGTAAACCATCCCTCGCTTTCTTTTCTTCTCTCTCTCTCTCACACACACATACACACACACACTCTCTCTCTCTCCATTCAGTGTCTCGTCACTATAGCGTGAGGACGTGTATATTCACCTCTCGTGACCTTGACCTGTTCTGAAGTTATTCGGGTTGCATTTATGTGGCTGTATTTGCACAGGAAAGTCAGGTCGCGCCCTGTGTGTTCGGGGAATGACCCCTCCCCCCAAATGGGACAATGGCCACAGACCAGCTCATAGAAACTGAGGGCGGGTATGATGTCCTACGTGAGGAAGATATCGAAAGAACAAGGAAAAAGTCAAGAGGCAACTACCTGCCTCTGTGGAGATGACGCCCCTCGGACACCTGTGCGTACTTTTTAGGAAGGAAACGAAATTTA